ATATATTATATATATATATATATTATATATATATATAATATATATATATTATATATATATATATATTATATATATATATGTCTTTTTCATTTTTGATGTTGGAAATTTTTAAGCCTATACAAAAATAGAGAAGATAGTATAATGAACTTCCATTTACCCGTCGCTCAGCTTCAACAGTTATTAACTCACCGCTAGTCCTATTTCAGCCATGCCCTGATCCAGGACCTCCTCCCACATCCCAGACGTCATATGGTCCAATCTTTTGAAAATGTAAGTGAGGCCAGGTGCGGTGGCCCATGCCTGCAATCCCAGCACTTGGGAGGTAGAGGTAGGAGGGTCACTCGAGGCCAGGAATTAGAGACCAGACTGGGCAGCAAAGTGAGACCCCATCTCTACAAAAATTAAAGTATTCTGGCTGGACGCAGTGGCTCACACCTGTAATCCCAGCATTTTGGGAGGCCAAGGCGGTTGGATCACTTGAGGTCAGGAGAAGCAGACCAGCCTGGCCAACATGGTCAAACCCCGTCTCTACTAAAAATACAAAAAATTAGCCAGGAGTGGTGGCAGGCACCAGTAATCCCAGCTACTCAGGAAACTGAGGCAGGAGAATCGCTTGAACCTGGAAGGTGGAGGTTGCAGTGAACCAAGATTGCACCACCGCACTCCAGCCTGGGTAACAGAGCAAGACCCCATCTCTAAAAATAAATAAATATTTTTTTTTTGAGATGGAGTTTTGCTCTTATTGCCCAGGCTGGAGCGCAGTGGTGCGATCTCAACTCACCGCAACCTCTACCTCCTGGGTTCAAGTGATTCTCCTGCCTCAGCCTCCCGAGTAGCTGGGATTACAGACATGCTCCACCACGCCTGTCTAATTTGGTATTTTTAGTAGAGATGGGGTTTCTCCGTGTTGGTCAGGCTGGTTTCAAACTCCTGACCTCAGGTGATCTGCCCATCTTGGCTTCCCAAAGTGCTGGGATTATAGATGTGAGCCACTGCGCCTGGTTATAAATAAAATTTTTAAAAATATGGCTAGGCACAGCGGCTCACACCTGTAGTCCCAGCATGTTGGGAGGCCAAGGCAGGCGGATCACTTGAGGTCAGGAGTTCCAAATCAGTCTGGCCAACATGGCGAAACCCGATCTCTTCTAAAAATACAAAAATTAGCCAGGTGTGGTGGCGCCTGCCTGTAATCCCAGCTACTTGGGAGGCTGAGGCAGGAGACTCTCTTGATCCCAGCAGGTGGAGGTTGCTGTGAGTCAGGCTTGCACCACTGCACTGCAGCCTGGGGCAACAGAGCAAGACTCTGTCTCAAAAAAAAAAAAAAAGGAAATCAGATCCTGCCTGTTAACTGCTCACACACCTAGCACCACCACACTAGATATCATCTAGACTCTGTAGAGTGAGCCAGAGAAGACCCCAGGGCCCAGCCACCCTCCCTTCCCAGCCCTGTCTCACACCCCTGCCCCTACGTTACTGTTCTCCAGGCTTTTCTCTGTTTCTGGAACACCACAAGCTGTGTCCTGCCTCTGAGCTTTTGTACACGCTGGTTCCCCCAGCCTGAAACGCTTGTGCCTCTTCCTCCCACGCCTGCCTTGTGTGAGGAGTCCCTTATCCTTCAGGGCTTGTGTGAATTACATGTTTCCTCTATTTCACTGCCATTCCAGCTACTCTCTCCCCAGTGCTATCTGTTCACAGTGCAGATCACAATCTGGAATGCTCTTCACTATTCTTTTATGGTTTCCATCGTCCCCTCCCCGCTCCAGAATAGAAACTCTTTGAGGGGCTGGGCGCAGTGGCTCGTGCCTATAATTCCAGCATTTTGGGAAGCCAAGGCAGGTGAATCACCTGAGGTCAGGGGTTCGAGACCAGCCTGGCCAATGTGGTGAAACCCCGTCTCTACTAAAAATACAAAAATTAGCCCAGCATGGGGGTAGGCACCTATAATCCCAGCTACTTGGGAGGCTGAGGCTAGAGAATCTCTTGAACTCGGGAGGTGGAGGTTGCAGTGAGCCAAATCACGTCACGGCACTCCAGCCTGGGTGACGGAGGGAAACTATCTCAAAAAAAGAAAAAAGAAAGAAAGTGAGGGAAGGAGTCCTTTGGGGTGGGACCAAATGAAGTTGCCCTTGAAACTGGGAAGCTGGGGGCTTTTTCTTGCCTGTGGGGGCTACCAGTTCCACGTGTATCTATAGCCATCCATGAGGGTTCCAGGCAGAGCTGCTGTGCCCACTGGTGGGGAGGCGAGGCTGGGACTCTCTGCTAGGCTGGGACAGAGCTTGTGATTTTCGGGAAGAGACAGGCTGACTTTTTGTTGGCACTGGAGCACAGTGCCAGGGAGGCAGGAGCGTGGGGGAGGTAGGGAGAGGAGAGAAAGAGAGAGAGAGGAAGACAGAGGGGAGGAGGGAGGGAGAGAGAGAGAGAAGGAGGAGGAGAGAGGCAGGAGAGAGAGGCAGGAGAGAGAGGGAAAAAGAGGGAAGGAGAGAGACGGAGAGGGAGAAAGAAGAGTGTGGGAAGGGGAGGGGAGAGAGAGAGACCCTTTTTTGTTATTGTTCCTTAAGAAAATTCAAGAAATAAAATAGGCCAAAGGACGTAATCATCTCAACGTCTCAATGAACCGCAGGAGTATTTCTCATCAGGTGGTGTCCATTCACACCTTCACCAATAGAAGAGTTTCCGGGTTCTTATTCCAGGTTTCACACCTAGATGCTGTTTTGCTAAGCCCCGCCCCTTCAGAACTGCCCTGCAGCTGATTAACCCCTTCTCTCCTGGAGAAGAAAGAGCACCCTCTAGCGTCTCCCTAAGATGAACTTGGGTGTTCAACCGGCTCTGAAAGTGCTCACCCTCCCCGGCTTCCCTTCCAAGATCTGTTATGGGAAATGCCAGCCTTGACACCCTGAGAATGCTGGCCTTTGTCAGCAGATGAAGCGGATATTGTCAGGCTGGGACAAAAGTGCCCTTGTGATTTCTGGAGACCAGGCGTCCTCTGTGGGGTCTGGGGGGTGGGCACCGATGGGGCCCGGCGGTGGGAGGCACAGCCCAGCCTCCCTCGAGGAGGCTGGGGCCTAGAGAATCCGGAGGGGGCGGGTACATTTTGGAAACATCTTTTGTGTTATGGGTTCTTGCACCTTTAGCACGGGCCTGGGGGGTGTGGATCGGGAATCCTGGGGTCCTTTATTTATTCCTCATCCTGGGGGGGTCTCCTATGTGCAGAATGCTTTGCCTACAACCAGCGACAGCCTGCAGGGGAATGGGAACAGGATGGTCCCCTCCCCAGGAGCAGGTCATGGGCTGCTGGTTGGGGGTGGAGGGGACAACAGATAAGAAGTGAGGTGGCCATTGCTACCCTAAGCAGGTGCCAGCGAGGGAGGACGGCTGCAGCCTCCCCCCTACACAGACCCAAGTGGGACACAGTGAGGGGTGGGGGTCAGGCCCCACCTCCCCAGACTTCCTCTCTTTCCCTGAGCAATTCTGGCTCATGAATCTGCTCTCCTCGCCTTGTTCACAGAAGATGACGCCTCCTCTCTTTCTCTCTCTCTCCTTCTCTCTTTCTCCGGCTTCTTCTTCCCTGTGCCCCCCTCCCTGTGTCCCCGCCCCCACCCCACCGTGTCCACCCTGGGTGGACCAGACCCAGACGCAGCTGGAGCACGCGCGCATTGGGGAGCTGGAACAGAGCCTGCTACTGGAGAAGGCGCAGGCCGAGCGGCTGCTCCGAGAATTAGCGGACAACAGGGTAACCGCGCCACCACGCCCGCCTGGCCTGCCAGCCACCTTGCCCTCTGGTGCCCTCTCCGGCTTCTCTGTTTCATTATTGACTTTCTTTAGCTGCTATCATCTTTTTTTTTTTTCTTTTGTACCCCCTTGGAGGAGGGAAGTCAAGATTTAGAAATGTATTTATGCAGCCGGGCGTTCATGCCTGTAATCCCAGCACTTTGGGAGGCCCAGGTGGGTGGATCGCCTGAGGTCAGGAGTTCGAGACCAGCCTGGCCAATATGGTGAAACCTTGTCTCAGCCGGGCATGGTGGCTCATGCCTGTGATTCCAGCTACTTGGGAGGCTGAGGCAGGAGAACTGCTTGAACCCAGGGGTGGAGGTTGCAGTGAGCTGAGATCCTGCCATGGCACGGTCTGCCTTGGTGACAGAGCAAGACTCCGCCTCAAAAACAAACCAAGAAAAAGAAATGTGCTTATGTTCTCTGGCTAAGGGTTGCTCACTGGGGTGGAGTTGGGGGCAGGGGTGGTCTGTTTTTTTTGGGATCTGGCCCCCCAGCTCATGGTCCCAGTAGCTGAGAATGTCCTGTGAGACCGCCCCCTATGCATTGCCACAACAAAGTTTTGGGGCCCTTGGGAATGTCCTGCCCTTAATGCCTGTCCTGTAGGCAGACCCAGAAACTACGGATCCATGCTTCCTGTCTCCCCAGCTGAGGAGGCTGGAGAGAGGAAGGAGGTCGGGAACTGCAGATACCTTCCCGGGTTCTCTGGCCCAGGGAGCCTGAAACATGGGGCAGGAGGGCCCGGCCTGAAGGCCCTGGGGCTGAGGACGTGGTGGGGCTTTTTCGGGAGTGGAGGTGTCCCCAGGAAATGGGACTGTGATGGGTCCCGGAGCCATGGAACAGCTGTGCTTGTGGGTGAGGCTTCCAGAGTACAGGACATGGTTCCGAGTCCCTGCTCTGGGCCCAGCAGTCTCCTCCAGGCTTACCATGCATGCTGGGGTCCAGCACTCTGTGCAGGTGCTCACATCCAAACAGCAGCCGGCCCCCCAGCAGCTCCCCTGGGAGGAAGCTTACACAGGCAGCAAGCGATCACGGGAAAAGCACCCGTAGTAAACAGCGTGTAGGTGTGGAAGGAGCAGTGGTCAGTTTCTGCACGGTGGCCTCAGTGCACAAGTGGCTGTGTGCATGTGTCCGGAGACACACAGGGTCCATTTGCACACACGGGCCATTGCCCAGTGACCACGTGCTTGTACAGTACACACTCACATGCATCAAGACTGAACGCACAAACTGACTCAGTCACTGTGGACGGTCTAGAGCCCTCCAAATGCATCCTGGTCTAGGGTTCAACCTGATGAAGACACAAAAACAGGCCTGGGTGTGGTGGCTCACGCCTGTAATCCCAGCACTTTGGGAGGCCAAGGCGGGTGGATCACCTGGGGTTATCTGAGGTCAGTAGTTCGAGACCAGCCTGGCCAACGTGGTGAAACTCCGTCTCTACTAAAGATATAAAAATTAGCCAGGCGAGGTGGAAGGAGCCTGTAGTCCCAGCTACTTGGGAGGCTGAGACAGGAGAATCATTTGAACCGGGGAGGCGGAGGTTGCAGTGAGCCAAGATCACGCCACTGCACCCCAGCCTGGGCAAAAGAGCAAGACTCCATCTCGAAAAAAACAAAAAACAAAAATAGGTTTATCAAACTAAAGGATACCTTCAGAAAGAAAATGTTTAAAGCTTGTAATAGATTTAAACCTTGAAAATATATTGTTTCCAAATCTATGACCATCAGCCTGATCAAGGTGGTTTTCTGGAGAAAGAAGCCTCTGAGAGCTTTGTTGAAAGGTGAATCTGAGAGCACTCACTCTCTTCTGCTTTAAGCATTAAACTGGACCTTTCATGGCCACTGCCTGCAGCTAGCCCCTTGGTTGGAGACCTTCCTGGGGCAGGATAATGCAAAATTCACTGTGGCTTCTGCTCTTTACAAAGAATGTTAACAAAAAAAAATTCTTAATAAAAGAACAAAGAACTTCAACTCAGTTGGGTGTGGTGACGTGGTGGCTCATGCCTGTGGAGTCTCAGCTGCGCTTGAGGCTGAGGCAGGAGGATTGCTTGAGCCCAGGAATTTGAGGGTGCACTGAGCTATTACTGCACGGCTGCTCTTCAGCCTGGGCAACATAGCAAGACTCCTGTCTCTTTAAAAAAAAAAAAAAAAAAAAAAAAAAAAGTCTGGTCAAGGTGGCTCACACCTGTAATCTCAACACTTTGGGAGGCTGAGGCAGGTGGATCACTTGAGGCCAGGAGTTTGAGGCCAACCTGGCCAACATGGTGAAGCCCCATCTCTACTAAAAATACAAAAATTCCCCAGGTGCATGGTGGTGCACGCCTCTAGTCCTGGCTACTCAGGGGGCTGAAGCAGGAGGATCACTTGAACCTGGGAGACAGAGGCTGCAGTGAGCCGAGATCAGGCCCTTGCACTCCAGTCTGTGTGACAGAGTGAGACTCTGTCTCAAAAAACAGTAACAACAAAAAAGCTGTAGCCTCAAATAGGTGGTTTCTTTTAACTACCAATTTGTCCAAGCCACGTGGGTAAGGCAGTGGTGACAGTTGGCTCTGTGAATCTTTGGGGTACAGCTAGGGGGGTCTGGATGCTGGGATGGACGGGGCTTTTGCGTCCAGCCGGCATTCAGGAGAGAGTGGGCGCCTTTCCCTTCCCATGACCTCCACCTGCTGGGGCTGGTGCCCTCAAGTGGATGCCCCGCCCACCACCACTGTGCCCCCCTCACCCTCCAGCTGGCAGCCAGCCAGCCCCCTGACCCCTGTCTCCCTCTCTCCCCGCAGCTGACCACAGTGGCCGAGAAGTCCCGGGTGCTGCAGCTGGAGGAGGAGCTCACCCTGCGACGCGGTGAGATCGAGGAGCTGCAGCAGTGCCTGCTGCACTCGGGACCCCCGCCCCCGGACCACCCCGACGCCGCCGAGACCCTGCGGCTGCGGGAGCGGCTGCTGTCGGCCAGCAAGGAGCACCAGAGGGAGAGCGGGGTGCTGCGGGATAAATACGAGAAGGCCCTGAAGGCCTACCAGGCGGAGGTGGACAAGCTCCGTGCGGCCAACGAGAAGTACGCGCAGGAGGTGGCGGGCCTGAAGGACAAGGTTCAGCAGGCCACCAGCGAGAACATGGGGCTCATGGACAACTGGAAATCCAAGCTGGACTCGCTGGCCTCGGACCACCAGAAGTCCCTGGAGGACCTCAAGGCCACCCTGAACTCGGGCCCAGGCGCCCAGCAGAAGGAGATCGGCGAGCTGAAGGCGGTGATGGAGGGCATCAAGATGGAGCACCAGCTGGAGCTGGGTAACCTGCAGGCCAAGAATGACCTGGAGACCGCCGTGCACGTGAAGGAGAAGGAGGCCCTGCGGGAGAAGCTGCAGGAGGCCCAGGAGGAGCTGGCCGGGCTGCAGCGGCACTGGCGGGCCCAGCTGGAGGTGCAAGCCAGCCAGCACCGGCTGGAGCTGCAGGAGGCCCAGGACCAGCGCCGGGACGCCGAGCTGCGCGTGCATGAGCTGGAAAAGCTGGACGTGGAGTACCGGGGCCAGGCGCAGGCCATCGAGTTCCTCAAGGAGCAGATCTCGCTGGCCGAGAAAAAGATGCTGGACTACGAGCGGCTGCAGCGGGCCGAAGCCCAGAGCAAACAGGAGGCCGAGCGGTTGCGGGAGAAGCTCCTGGTGGCCGAGAACAGACTCCAGGCGGTGGAGGCCCTGTGCTCCTCCCAGCACACCCACGTAGGCGCCTGCCCCGCCTGCTGGGGCCGGAGGGTCGGGCTGGGGAGGGCTAGGGCGTTTGCTGACCTCTGTTTTGCAGCCCAGGAAGCATTTTCCTTGTCCCCGAGAGGATGCCTGGGGCAGTCGAAGGGGGGTACCTGGCTCAGAAGAGGAGCTCCTTGGCCCTCTTTTAGAGGAGCAGCTAGCCCCAGTGACCAGGGAAAACCCAAGCTGGTCTGAGCTGACCCAGCTGCACCCCCCCACGGAGCAGAGCTGGAGAGATGGGAGCTCGGTGCCCAGGACGGCCTTCTGCCCAGTCCCTAAGCCTTCATTTAGCCACACGTGTCTTAGGGTACAGGCTCCTGCGACCCGGGACCTCAGACCTTGCGCCTGGGGCTGGCACAGACCCGAGGGCAATCTCTGCCTCTCCCCCTGGGGGTTTCCATCTCCCACTCAGATGCCCACATGGGGAACCAGGGGCAGCCCCCTTTCTGCCAGTCCTAATGAAACTTTAGCAGCGGTGCAGCAAGTACTTCCCCAGAATGTGGGGTTTCCCAGAGTGGGGCCTGGAAGGCTAGAGGGAGGTGGCCCTAAAGAGGTCACTGTCACCAGTGTCAGTTTTGCTCCAAATCTAGAAATTCCTTGAGCATCTACCCCTTCTTCCTTCAGCTGAGCCCATCCTCCCAGCCCCTCTGAGGAGGTCCACACCCAGTTGAGCTGTGTCCGCCCCACCAGGGCCAGGAAGGGCCTTCTGAGTGGCTCTAGCATCATGTCTTATGCCAGGCTCTATGAGACTCCATTTCACCTTAACATCCTTAGATTGATACTGGCTGCATTTCACAGGTGAGCAAGCCGAGACTTTCCCAGGACCCCAGCCCCTCAGCGGCAGAGATGTCCAACCCCATTGCCTGTGGGGCTGACAGAGTACCCAGGACAATAGGAATTAATTCACAGGATAGATGGCTAGAAACGGACTCTTGCCTGGATACAAATTGCACTCAGGGATTCTTGAGTTTTCAGTTCCCCACTTACATTTGTTTTTTTGTTTTTTGGGTTTTCTTGAGATGGAGTTTCGCTCTTGTCGCCCAGGCTGGAGTGCAGTGGTGCGATCTCGGGTCACTGCAACCTCCGCCTCCCAGGTTCAAGTGATTCTTCTGTCCCAGCCTCCCAAGTAGCTGCGATTACAGGCATGTGCCACCACGCCCAGCTAATTTTTATATTTTTAGAGGAGGCGGGGCTTCACCATGTAGTCCAAGCTGGTCTCCACCTCCTGATCTCAGGTGATCTGCTCGCCTCAGCCTCCCAAAGTACTGGGATTACAGGCATGAGCCACCATGCCCAGCGCCCATTTTTTTTTTAAAGACAGGGTCTTTCTCTGTCTCCCAGGCTGGAGTGCAGTGGCATGATCATGGCTCACTGCAGCCTCAACCCCGTGGGTTCGAGTGATCCTTCTGTGTTGGCCTCCCAAGTCACTGAGACTACAGGCGTGCCCCACTACACCTGGCTAATTTTTATAGTTTTTGTAGGCAGGGGTTTTTGCCATGTTGCCGTGGGCTCAAGCCATCTGCCAATCTTTGCCTCCCAAAGTGCTGGAATCACAGGGAGGAGCTACTCTACCTGGCCACCCTCATGTATATTTAAACCAGAATTTAGGGCTGGGTGTAGTGGCTCACACCTATAATCGCAGCATTTCGAGAGGCTGAGGCAGGAGGATTGCTTCCGGCTAGGAGTTTGAGACCAGCCTGGACAATATAGTAAGACCCCATCTCTACAAAAATGAAAAATGGTCAAGCATGGTGGTAGTGTGCCCATAGTCCCCAGCTACTCTGGAGACTGAGGCAGGAGGATCACTTGAGCCCATGGGTTTGAGGCTGCAGTGAGCTATGACTGCGCACCAGCCTGGGTGACAGAGTGAGGCTCGGACTTAAGAAAACATAAAAACAGAAGTTAGCATATGGCCAATAAGCTCTCAGGGCTTCCAAATCCAGGGTGCTTTTTTGAGTAAAAGGAAATCTTTCAGCTTCATGCCTTGAGATCGCTTGCAATGGCCTTCCTGCCCCTTCTCCCAGAGAGGGATTTTTTTTTTAGCAAGTGCTCTCCCAGGATCCTGGGCTGAAAGAAAAGGAAGAAACCCAAATTAGCTTCTGTGCACATGGCCTGGTTAGCTGCTCAGCGCAGGCAGAAGCAGCCTGCAACCCAGGACCTGGATCCCCTGAGCGGGGAGGTTTGGGGCTGCTGTACTTCCACAGAGCATGGGGGACAGAGGCCTGAGGACACCTTCCCCATCCCCTGCCCCCCATTTACAGGTGCCCTCAGGCCAAGAAGTAGTAGCAACCTCAGAAAGCCCAGCTCTTGGCCGGGAGCGGTGGCTCACGCCTGTAATCCCAGCACTTTGGGAGGCTGAGGCGGGTGGATCACTTGAGGTCAGGAGTTTGAGACCAGCCTGGGCAACATGGTAAAATCTCTACCAAAAAAATACAAAAATTTGCTGAGAATGGTGGCGCTCAGCCTCCCAGCTACTCGGGGGGCTATGGCATGAGGATCCCTTGAACTGGGAGGTGGAGGTTGCAGTGAGCTGAAATCATGCCACTGCACTCCAGCCTGGGCGACAGAGTAAGACTCCATATGAAAAAAATGTTTCAAG